AACCAGCTTCAAATATCTGATAGTAAAGCTATCATGTGGGTTGGCAAACCAAGCGAAGAAGAAGTAGAGGAAAAGGACTATGGAGATAAAAATGAAGCTGAAGAAGATGATGAAGATGGAGACAAGGATGAAGATGAAGCTAAAGATGCACATGAAGCTGGGGATAAGATGGGGATGAGGATGAGGATGGGGATGACGATGGACATGAAACTGCAGCTGGAGCTGGATCTAAAGAAGATAAGATGAAGGCTCCAATAGTAAGGAAGAAAGTGATGAAAGACAAGATGGTAAGAAGAGGAGGAGAACAGATGAAAGCCCAATGGTTTGGAGGTCTGAGAGGAAAAGGTTGAGGTAAATTGGTCACCTTTTTTGAAAGAACCAATACAAGGGAGAATTACAAAAGAACAACAAATATATGAATATTGCACTAGGCGGACCAATCAAGCAGAGGGTGAAGAGTAAGTAATGTGATATTACTTTTCGATAATCATGGTGCATTATGATTGATATAATAACACATTTTTTTGGTAGGTGTGTCGTTGAGATGTACGATTACTACTTAACTAGGGCGAATGCCAAAGTCTTGGTCCTAAAAAATGGATAAGTACAGCGGTATGTCTAATAGTTTTAATTCATTAGTTGCTTAATTGGATAGCACATTGAGTATTGGATGTGATCCTTGTAGTCATGAGCATGGTCACAAAAGTGATGGTTGGTGAGCAACTTCGTGAAGGGAAGGTACGGAGGTACATATTTGATTCAGAATTTATGGCCACCCTAAGGGATAAAAAGTTAAGATGGTCTGTCTTTGAGGATGCAAAGATGCTCATGCCCAATCAACTTGGATATAACCTTGGAAATTGTGATTACCTCTTCTTGCCCATGCTTGTGTTCAATCACTGGTTTTGTTATTGTGCTGATTTGAAAAATGACAAATTTTTCATCCTTGATTCATTGGCTGGGAAGTTATTTAAAGAGAAGAAGATGATGGCTGGATTTATGGTATGCTTTATTAGTGCTTTTGCATAACTACTTTAGGTTACTTAAATTTTTACATGGGAATGGTTATCTAACTCTGGAACTATTTGTAGAGAACTAGCATAATTGAGTTGTTACAAGCATGTGACCCGGAGAAATATGGAGAGGATTTTTAGATGGAGATGATATTTGAAGAACTTCCCAAACAGAGTAATGTGTAAGTAACTATCTATGAAAACAAGTACCTTTTAATGTATTCATTTCTAGTAGACAATTTGCCTTACCTTAATTGCTCATATTTGTAGAGATGATTGTGGGGTATATGTCATAAAGTACTGTACAGAATGGGATGGTAGAAGAAGAAAAGGAGGACTGACCATGGAGGACTTTTCAAACGTATGTATATGTGATCCATAATCTTTCTAATTTTTTTCTTCCAATTATCAATGTGAAACTTAAACTTTCTTTATGTTTTTTTAGGAACAACTGAGACAGTTTAGGGTGAATGTGGTGTGGTGGCTGGTAAATCACACGAGAAATGAAGTAAGAAATGAAGTATTTGCCTCTGTCTCAGCAGCTAATCGACCAAAGAGGGCAGGAAAGAAGTATAGATGAATTTTTAGTCTGTGACATGTTTTCACCATTATAATTTTGTAGAAATTGCCTCTTCTATAATTTTTTCCCTCACGTATTTTAGCTGAAGGTGGACTATGTAATTTGTACAAGTGAGGACATGCTCAATTGAATTTGAAGCTGTATCCAAATTTTAGGGCTTATAAGAATATTTTTACCAATACATTGCAGGGCGTATAAGAATAGAATTTTTGACTACAAAATTAGGCTGGCCTTTATGGGATATGCTTGATTAATTTTGTATCCAAAACATGTTAGTTGATCAAAATTTGGTCACATACATGCATTTTACCTAACTGAATTATAATTTTGTGTAAACAAGATTGCCAACACCTCCATTTGGATTTTATATCACAGGTACTAATTAATACTTATTATTTTCAACAAATTAAAATAACATGTATTTCCTGCCAATTGATACAGCCGGGCTGCTATTTATATTACTTTAATCATATGGTGATCCAATTTAATGTAACAAATGAATCATGCAATTTTCTAAATAAAACACTCGGTGTGACTATCAAGCAAGCTGAACAAGCAACCAAATCAATTATATATAGCCAATGTCGCAACTGTGTGTCAAAATTTTGGGTGGGGTAAGTAATGAATTCTCAACAAAGTAATTATTTTAGGACAAAGCTCTAGTAATTTGCAAGTGAGAAACCAAATTTTACAATGCCCTTAGAAACAATTTGCAACTGGTACTCCAAATTTTGGATCGAAGAACTATTAAATTCGTTGAAGAGTTAAATCCTTTAGGACAAAGCTCCAATAATTTACAAGTGAGAAACCAAATTTTGCAATGCCCTTAGAAACAATTTGCAACTGGTACTCCAAATTTTGGATCGAAGAACTATTAAATTCATTGAAGAGTTAACTCCTTTAGGACAAAGCTCCAGTAATTTGCAAGTGAAAAACCAAATTTTGCAATGCCTTTAGAAACAATTTGCAACTGGTACTCTAAATTTTGGATCGAAGAACTATTAAATTCGTTGAAGAGTTAACTCCTTTAGGACAAAGCTCCAGTAATTTGCAAGTGAGAAACCAAATTTTGCAATGCCCTTAGAAACAATTTACAACTGGTACTCCAAATTTTGGATCGAAGAACTATTAAATTCGTTGAAGAGTTAACTCCTTTAGGACAAAGCTCCAGTAATTTGCAAGTGAGAAATTAAATTTTGCAATGCCCTTAGAAACAATTTGCAATTGGTACTCCAAATTTTGGATCGAAGAACTATTAAATTCGTTGAAGAGTTAACTCCTTTAGGACAAAGCTCCAGTAATTTGCAAGTGAGAAACCAAATTTTGCAATGCCCTTAGAAACAATTTGCAACTGGTACTCCAAATTTTGGATCGAAGAACTATTAAATTCATTGAAGAGTTAAATCCTTTAGGACAAAGCTCTAGTAATTTGCAAGTGAGAAACCAAATTTTGCAATGCCCTTAGAAACCATTTGCAACTGGTACTCCAAATTTTGGATCGAAGAACTATTAAATTTGTTGAAGAGTTAAATCCTTTAGGACAAAGCTCCAGTAATTTGCAAGTGAGAAACCAAATTTTGCAATGCCCTTAGAAACAATTTGCAACTGGTACTCCAAATTTTGGATTGAAGAACTATTAAATTCGTTGAAGAGTTAAATCCTTTAGGACAAAGCTTCAGTAATTTGCAAGTGAGAAACTAAATTTTGCAATGCCCTTAGAAAAAATTTGCAACTGGTACTCTAAATTTTAGATCGAAGAACTATTAAATTCGTTGGAGAGTTAAATCCTTTAGGATAAAACTCTAGTAATTTGCAAGTGAGAAACCAAATTTTGCAATGTCCTTAGAAACAATTTGCAACTACTCGAAATTTTGGATTGAAGAACTATTGAATTCGTGGAAGTATTTTGCAATTTAGACACCAAATTTTGCAAATTCCTTACGAAAAATTGGCAACTCGTACATGAAATTTTGGATCGTCGAACTAGAAGATATGAACTTTTCATGTAAGAAACATGTATTAATTCATCTAATGCATCTGCACATATCACCTGTCCACATACATAAAGGCGTGAACTTGGATTTACAAACGAAGAGTTGCTATGTACCAAAAAAACCCCTAATACTATCAATATATATCTACATAAACCTATGTATGTCAACCAAATCCAAGTTGATCTAGTCTCATGTTATAGAAACATCAACTTGGATTTACAAAATAGGGGCTGCTATATGCCAAAAAAAACCCCTAAAATAACCATTATGTTTATGTCACCCAAATCCAAGTTCATGTGATAACCCATTTACAATAACATCAACTTGGATTTGGATTTCTACACCTCTTCCTCATATGACCTGCTTTATGGCAGCGAGAACAATGATAAACCTTCTTTTGTTGATGTTGAGACTCGATCCTCACATGATGAGGTCTGCCAGCTGGTCGAGATGTTCTAGGAGGCAGCAAAAAGGTTTGGTTCATGAGCTGAGACACTATCAATGCATTTGGCTTTGGCATGTCATGGGTCTCAACAGGATGCATAATGCCACTGTATATTTTCTCTTGTGAGCTACGAAGATAACATTCCTCGACATAGTTATACACATTACTATGCACTTCTTTAATGGCTGCACAAGCATGTGGGTAAGGAATGCCAGACATTTGCCAAACTTTGCATGTGCATTCTCTTAGTATCAGATTCACAGATATGAACTTGTTGGGGAAAATAGAGTACTTTGCAGAATAGTTCTACTCTGAAACTGGCAAGCCCAATGAACCTCAAAGTCTCCTCTGGTTTCCTACTTCTCCTCCCTAGCTCCAACTTGCAGCTTCCCCTTTACAAGTAACTACTCTATTTAGGGGACCAACATCATTGGTTTACTTCACTCTTATTTCGCACAGCTCATCGGCTTTTTTGATTCTCATATTCGAACCTCATCCATGCTACCACATCTAAACTTTAGCACAGACTCAGTCCTCTTACTACAAACTCATACATCAGTCCAGCCGATTCCATTCATACCCACATATCCTTGATGGGATATTTCGGATATTGCACTTCACCTATAATGCTATTGTCGAAAACATACCCATTCCTGCAATTGATTGATGTGGAACTTGGATTGAAAGTATTTGATGAAGAATTAATTATGTTTTTCCATTATTACTGTTATTTAAACTCATTAAATTGAATTTTAAAATTTTTCATTTCATAAATAGAGAAAAATTGGAAGTTTAATCTATTTACAGATAAAGTTAATAACTTAGACACCTTTCATTGATTTATTGAGACAGTGAGATATGTTTTTAATAGGGACCAAATAAAGTATAGGAAAAGTATAGGAGCAAACAGTTAGATATGATTCACTCCTTCATATTCTCCTCCACCTTCGGCAAATTCACTCAGCGATGCTAGCACTCTCCTCTCATCTTCTCTTTCCAGTGATGGCATTCTCCCTCCATATTCGGCGATGCTTTCTTCCTGATGATGAGATTCGATCTATTGGTGCTTTCTTCACTGGCAAACCCTAACCTAATCTCTTTTCCCCTCTTTTCTATATTTTTTTCTCACATAGCTCTTACTTCTCTTTGCTCTCTGCTCTCTCTCTCTGGTCCAGGCCTTGTTCAAAATCTATGAAGTCACTCATTAACTCTTGTGTAGGTGAGTCACTGTTTCATTTCTAATCTATCTTGATTTCATCGAAGCTGCGTTTAGTAAAACTTTTGTTTTTGCTATAATTTTAGTCTCTTTCCTTCTTTTTTTTGGTATGGTGAAAGATTTCTTGTAGTTGTAATTGTTTTTTGATCTCATAAAATCGTTTTCTCTGAATTATGTTTTTCAGATATTTACATTGTTTGGGTTTAAGGACTTTGTGGTTTAAGGTTAAGGCATATACTGTTTAGTTAATTCTTATCTATTTTCTATTCATAGGATCCTCTATCAACTTGTTAAACAACCAAATACTATTATTGTGATCATAATGAACATCGAGAACCTCTCTGATATATTGGCTTTGACTGTTTGCTCTTCTCAAAATATATATGTTGAATTTGTTAATTATATTCAAGTGTTCAAAATCATGAGATTTCTAATTTCAAGCATTCATTCCAATTATCCATATCTGATATGTTCTTTTTTTTATTGATTCTGATATGGAGAGTGAAAAATAAGAATTTAAGGTTAAATGACCTGCTTTGTTTACTTGGTGTTTAAGAGGATGGGATGTTAGGTTGTATTTAATTAGCCCTGTTTTTCATTAGGTGCATCAGGATAATTTTAGACCCAGAGATAAATATGTAAGATTTTGTATAAAGTAAATAAAGAAAATTTCAGGGTTAAATACTATAAAAAGTTTAAGAGTTCTTTTGTATTTTCTTGGCCACCAAAGACTTTTGATGTAGTATATGGCTTTAACTTCTTCATTTTTTACCATATCCTGCCTTTAATTTTTAATTATGTGTTACAATTGTTAATTTTCTGTTATTTTTTATTTTCTGTCATGCAAGATTTTTATGCTCTTTTCTGTTCTTATGCACGTGGCCCTAGCACGTGCATGTCAGTATAAGGTGAGTAGCTGTACACTGAGACGGTTATCGAATACGTGATTGGCATCCCCCCCCCCCCGGTCTGATTTTCTTTCTTTCTTCTTCTCTTCCCTACCTCTCTGACAGTGCTTATTCTCTTTCATATCCTCTGTTTCTTCTTCGGGTACTAACATTGGTATCAGAGCAGCGATCCATGGTAGATGGTACACGATCCCAGACATCTCTAAAAGAAATTGAGGACCGTTTACAGGTGGAGTTTGATCATTGTTTCAATCTGTTGGAGGCACAATTGGAGGGCGTCCCTGAGCTTCGTACACAGGTGCTGGGCTTACAAGATATGCTTCGACGAATGTCTATTCAACTGGCTGATTTGCAAACACCAGATGATTGTGGTCGTTCAAATCATAGGGATGGTGACTATTATATTCCTACTTGTTATACGAAACTTGACTTTCCCACATTTTCTTCGTCCGACATCAAAGCTTGGTTGGCAAAGTGTGATCGTTTTTTCTTGCTGGATGGTACTCCCGAGAACAAGAAAATGATAATGGCTAGTATAGCACTTGATGATGCAACATATAAATGGTTCCAAGATTTTGAAAAGGGCTTTAATGGTGTGGTTCCATGGCTGACCTTTGCTGAGGCAGTACGGGTACAGTATGGTCCTTTGAATGAGGATCTGATAGAGGACTTGATGCATCTTCGGCAACAGGGATGCTCAGTGGATTACCAACGAGACTTTGATAATCTAATATGTGTAAGTTAGATTTCCCTGAGGCACATAAGATAGGCTGTTTCATTGGGGGTCTTAAACTGGAGCTCACTTCAGGAGTCAAGTTGCTCTGACCTCAGACATTGTTAGAAGCAATGAAGTTGGCTCGACTCCAAGAGTCAAATCTGGATTCACTACAACGGTTCACATTGGGTTACTCGCTACCTTATACTTCACCTATGGGTGGTAAGTTGTCTTCTACTTCTTAAGGTTTACTTCCCACCCTAACCCCCTTAAAGGCACTCACATATTCTGCGAAAGAGAAGTTTGCAGCTCCAGATTTGAAATGAAGCCAACTGGCTTCACCGAGCACAGCTCTCATGCCTAGTAGCTCGAAGGGTGTTTTAGGTCGTTTGAACTTGGCTTTTAAGCAAAAGTTGACTCCCATTGAATTGGAGGAATGCCATTCCAAGAACCTATGCTACTATTGTCGTGAATGATATTCTCCTGGTCATGATTGTGCCCAAAAGCAAAATCTGTAGATATTCCTCATGGAGGTAACTGATGACTCTTCAACTATACCACCAGTTGAGGTACAATTGTTAGATAACGAACCTTCTGATTCAGAAGAAGCTGCTATTACTAATTTCCCCATCATTTCTTTAAATGCTATGCTTAGCACATCTGACTATAGTACTATGAGGGTAGTGGATTATATTGATAGACAACGGGTGCATGTTCTTATTGGTACAGGAAGTACTCATAATTTTTTAAATTCTCGTGTTACTAAAGATCTGTGTATTGTTGTGGAGCGTATATCTCCCTTGCAAATTTCAGTAGCTGGTGGCAGTAGCTTAATGGGCTCAAAGCAATGTAAGGGGCTGAAATGGACTACACACGGTATGGAATTTGATGTTGATGTACTGCTCTTACCATTGGCGGGTATTGATATGGTCCTCATTATGCAATGGTTATGTGAATTGGGTATTATGCTGTTGGATTGTAAGAATTTAGTTATGGAGTTTTTGTGGCAAGGGAAACCTGTTAAGCTTACAGCCATATCAGTGTCAAAAAACAGGGTCATTACTGAAGATAAGATGTTAAAGCTCCTTCAATCTGAATCAGATGCATGGGTTTATCAATTAATTCCTCATTCGGGTAATGGTTACTGTCATTGTATTGTGGCTGCACCTGACCCCACCATACCTCCTCTAATTGCTTCTCTTCTGGAGACTTACAGTCCCCTGTTCCAAGAACCCACTACACTTCCACCTAAGCATAGGGGACATGACCACCGTATTATCTTTTAGGGAGGTACGCCTCCTATTAAATTGCGTCCATACCACTACCCTGTAACCCAAAAAGATATTATTGACAATATAGTGAAGTATATACTTGAATAGGGCATTATTCAGCATAGTTCATCTCTATTTGCTTCACCAGTGGCATTAATAAAGAAGGAAGATGGTAGTTGGCAAATGTGTGTTGATTATCACGCCTTGAATAAAGCCACCGTACAAGATAGTTTTCCCATACCTCTGATCGAGGATCTTCTTGATGAGTTGGTGATGCCCGTATTTTTTCCAAATTGGATTTACGATTGGGTTACCACTAGATTCAGATCAAGGATGAAGACATACATAAAACCTCATTTCAAACGCATGCGGGTCATTATGAATATCTGGTTATACCATTTGGTCTCACCAATGCACCTTCTACTTTCCAAGGCATCATGAATGCTATTTTTGAAGGCATTCTACGTAAACATGTGTTAGTGTTTTTTGATGATATTTTAGTCTATAATCGAGATTTGCAGTCTCATATCAGTCACTTACAATTGGTATTTCATATACTTCAATAGAAGCAATTTTTTATTAAATTCTCTAAGTGTGCTTTTGCTGTAGAGCGCATTGAATACCTGGGGCATGTTATCTATGATGGGCAAGTGGCGGCAGACCCTTCGAAGCTACAGGCTGTGTGAGATCGGCCTATATCAATGTCAGTCAGGGAACTTTGTGGATTTTTAGGATTATCTGGCTATTATAGATGCTTTATTTGTAGTTATGGGTGGTTAGCTCGTCCTCTTACAGAGCTACTTAAGAAAGATGGGTTCAAATGGTCTCAAGATGCAGATTTAGCTTTCATGCAACTTAAAGAAGCATTAGTCAATGCCCCTATTCTCGCACTTCCAAACTTACAGCTCCCTTTCACTCTTGAGAACGATGCTTCTAGTTTTAGCATTGGGGTAGTTCTGGTTCAGCAAGGTCATCCTATTACTTTTGTCAGTATGGTACTTTCTCCACGTAACTAGCTGCTTTCGGTTTATGGTAAGGAGCTCCTTGCCATTGTTCATGCAGTATCTAAGTGGCACCAGTATTTATGTATATAGCCTTTCACAATTTTGACTGACCAGAGAAGTTTGAAATTTTTATTAGAGTAGCGGTTATCTACCCCTGCTCAGTACACCTAGATTACCAAGCTGATAGGTCTCCAATATGAGATCAAGTATACACGTGGTCAAGACAATGGTGCTGCAGATGCTTTATCTCGTGCTTCTCATGGTGAGCTCCTACAATTGTCGGTCTCATCTGTTTCTACATATTTGTGGGATCGCATTAAGGAACAATGGATACTCGATCCTATGTTGCAACGATTGATTGTTGAGTTACAAGAAAATCCCACCTCTCACCCTAAGTATCAATGGACGCAGGGTATGTTGTTATGTAAACAACGGTTGGTCGTGGGTCCTACTCAATCTGGGCTCAAGTCTTTAATCATCCAGTTGTTGCACAGTAGCCCCCATGGAGGCCATTCGGGCATTAAAGCCACTTTGCATTGAATTAAATCTTTGTTCTACACGGCATGTCAAATGATGTTAAACATAATTTACAACAGTGTGACACTTGTCTCCATTGCAAGTATGAGGCAGTAGCTTCACCAGGTCTGTTACAGCCATTGCCAATTCCATAAACAGTGTGGCAAAGCATAGCAATGGATTTTATAGTAAAATTACTGAAATCAGGGGGCAAGGACACAATTTGGGTTATTATTGATTGGCTTAGCAAATATGCTCACTTTATACCCCTTGCTCACCCATTTACAGCAGCTTCTTTAGCTCAGGTGTTCATTGATAATATTTATAAGTTTCATGGAGCCCCTGCTAACATTGTATAGTGACCGTGACCCTGTTTTCAATAGCCAATTTTGGAAGGAATTTCTCCTCCGGTTGGGAATTGAACAATGTCTATCCACTTTGTACCATCCTCAAAGTGATAGCCAGAGCAAGGTCTTAAATAGATGTGTCGTGCAGAAACTTCGCTGTTTTGCTTGGCAACAGCCGAAGGAGTGGGTACATTGGTTATCTATGGCGGAATGGTGGTACAACACGTCTTATCACTCTTCTACTGGCACTACTTTTGAGGTCATGTATGGCCAACCTCCACCTCTACAGCTCCCTTATTTGCCTCAAGAATCTACCATGGAATCTATTGATAGATCTTTTACTGCTTGTGAGGCTATCATGAATCAACCTCAAGATCATTTACATAAAGCTGTTAATCACATGAAGAAATATGCTGATAAGCATCGCTCAGAACATCACTTTCAAGTCGGGGACTGGGTATTTCTGAAGCTTCCTCAATGTCGACAGACGTCTATCGCCGTGCATTCATCGAAAATGTTATCACGTTACTATGGCCCTTTTTCAGATTATGGATCAGGTGGGTGAGGTGGCTTACACTCTGAAGTTGCCTGTTACAGCTAGAATGCACCCAACTTTCCATGTCTCCTTACTGAAACAATGCTTTGATCCTAATGTACCTGTGGTTCCCTTTCTTGATGCTGCAGCGGTACAGGGGACTGCTAAGGTTCCATTTTCTATTTTAGATAGACTTTTGGTTCAACAGAATCATCGCGCTATGACCCAAGTACTGATTCACTGGACTGATGGACTCCCTGAAGAAGCTACGTGGGTATCTTGGCCGGAAGTTGAAAGTTGTTTCCCAGACTTCGCGCATTCTGTTCATCCTTGAGGACAAGGATTTTCTCAAGGACAGGGCATTGTTACAATTGTTAATTTTCTGTTATTTTTTATTTTCTGTTATGCATGTTTTTTATGCTCCTTTTTGTTTTTATGCATATGGCCCTAGCTCGTGCATGTCAGTATAAGGTGAGTGGCTGTGTACTGAGACGGTTATCGAATATGTGATTGGCATTTTCCCGCTGTCTGATTTTCTTTCTTTCTTCCACTCTTCCCTACCTCGCTAACAGTGCTTATTCTCTTCCGTATCCTCTGTTTCTTCTTCGGGTACTAACATTATGAGAGTTAAATGCGAGTTGCTTGTTTTCAGAAGTTTCTTCCCCTCCCCTTTAATAGATGAGTTGAGATCTTTATTGACTGTATTGGAAGGGTTAATGCTCTTTTGAACGCGTCATCATTTGAACAAAAAAATTCTAAACGCTTATCTTTCAATAAATTAACATGTCCAGTCCTAGCTAGTGGGAGTGTGTATATATGATATTTGATATGCCCATCACTGTTGGCGTTAAAATAGTATATAGGTGAGTAGTGATGGATATATATATATATATATATAGCTTGCTATCTTTGTTGAACTCATGGCAATTAAGGCATGTTATCTCTCCTTAATTTTTTAAGACTCTTTTCTTATTTGTCTCTGTTTGAAATCTGATATAAGAGTGTACACAACCAAATCCACTTAATTTTTTAGCTCTTCAATCTTTTAACTCCTACTCTTTACTAGCCTTATTTAATTTAGCTTGATTATTTTTGAGCTATTTTTTGCGCTCTCTTTGTCCTGATAGTAAGTTTCTATTAGACCTTACAAATGGACTGTGGTCACTTGTTCTCCTGATCCTTTCGTCGCATCCTTGTAAGTCAAGCTTGAACATTCAACATCCCGTTTGTCTATTTGCTCATTTATTCTTTGTATTGATTCTATTTTATTTCTTTTTTTAATTGTTACAACAGGCTTACAAACAATATGGCAGGGAGGGTGGCTTGAACTATGTTGCCTCTTCAAGAACCTGAAGATCTCTCAAATGCTCTCAAGAATTGTTATTTAAGAACTTTTTATTGATAGAATCTCTTCTAGAATTCAAAGAATTTATAGGATAATATTTTTTGTATGGTGAATTCTCAAGTGATTGATATCTTTTCAATTTTATGATGTTTATTTATAATATATTTGATTTTTTAATCTCATGAATATAATATTTTTTATTTTATATGATTCTCTTGGGATTATATAATGATTAAAATGTGTATTAAAGTGTATATTAAAACTAAAATTGATAGACAATTAATAAAATATAACCACATAATACAGGAAATCTTGTTAAATTTTCAAATACTAATATTTGACACCCACTACTATAAAAAATACTCATACTTGACGCTTATTTTTTTCAATACTTGACGGTTTTTAACCGTCAAATAAGCATGCGACATATATTAAAGAAATAATACTTGACGGTTAAAAACCGTCAAGTATTAATCTTATACTTGACGGTTATTTGAAAACAACCGTCAAGTATATAAAGTAAATATGCACTTTTCAGAATAAATACTTGACGCTTGTTTCAAAACAAGTGTCAAGTATTTTCAAATACTTGACGCTTGTTTTGAAACAAGCGTAAACTATATTGACACTTGACGGTTTTGAAACAAGCGTCAACTATATTGACACTTGACGGTTATTTAGAAATAACCGTCAAGTATTAATGACATAATTTTTTTTATATGGTGAAAGCAGCCCCCTGCATAAAGATACAGATAAAGATAAAAAAACAGCCAGCCAGCAACGAAAATAATGCAATATAATGAATGTTTGTAATAGTATCTCCTATCTAATTAACATAAAAATTTCTATACATTTAACCTTAAAATCTAAACTTATTTGCAAACTAATTTTTAAAAATTAAGTGGCCTATCCCATAAAAATTGGCCCAAAAATGTGTATATAAATGTAACTAACTATTGTACCGGCCTAACTACTGTTGCTACCCACATATTGAAAACACATTGAGCCACCTCTTCAAGGACCTCTCTACATGTGCAGTCGTATAACGAACGCAATAGAGTCCTCGAAGTACTGTAAGCAAATAGTTACAACAATTTCAAGTTAATAGGTAGCTAATTAAAATTGTTTAAAATTTATAATTGAAATGTAATTAAATTTTATATATATACCTTGTTAGATAATGTGGTAGGGGCATGAGTGATAATGTCCTTCATGAACTTCATCAAGCAATAACCACAGTCATTGCTCTGATTTGGCTGGAATGGACACTATAAAAAAACACATATCAATGAAATTGCAAAATATAATGAGACAATTTCTTGATTAAAAACTTGACCAATTAAATGAATACGTTAACAGTGACCCATTTCTTTGAAGATTCGAATGCCCTCATCTTAGGGGACACAGTCATGTCGGTCGCAGTGCGATACAACACCACAGCTCTAAGAAGGAATTATGGAATGAATGTGAGAAATATATATGAATGAAAACTAAAATTAAAAAGAAATAACAAGTAAAAAAATCCAACTTACTCATTAAAAAGTACCACCATATCTTCCCTCTTACTTGGCTCTCCATTAAGGGGATCAAGATACCATATTTTTAGAGCAACGGGATTAACCACAATAAGCATCCAGTGTCCCCTAACAAGAAATAGCACATGTTACCAAACAAATAAATATAAAAAAAATATTTACTCGTAACAAATATTAACAACTCACCCTTGGCAGTAAGGAGCGAGAAATAAAGTATCCTTCGCTGCTCCCCTTTCTCGAAATTGATCCGAAAAGCATTCTTGCTTGATTTTCAAGGGCTTCCTTTGTAATATTATTATGGGGAGAGACATCATGAGGATTAACCAGCTTGATCTTTGACTCGAGGCCACCAAGAACCATGAATGAGGTATAAAGGTGACTTGGGTGAAAAATATACAAGTTAATATGCTTGCATACTCACACACATAAATAATTCAAGAAATTAACTAGTAAATGTTGAAGAATTACCTCATGTAGAAAGTCATCAAACTAGTACTCGCCATATCGTGCTTGAGGATTTCATTCAAAATTTCATCCCGAACGACTTCAAATGATGCTCTACCAAATAGCCCATTGTCAAAATTAATGATATCCCCTATCAGTTCTTGACGAATCATCCTCATAGCCGAAGCATAGGTCTCAAGAGAGTCACAGAATTTGTTTTCTACAACAGGTATAGGCACTGCATGTTGCGAAACCATGACTGACTCTTTAGTATGACCCGACACTAGGAATGAGCATCGGTTTTTATGGTTCGGTTTAGTTTTAATTTGAGAAAACTGAGAGACCGAACTTCACCAACATTTTTGACCGAACCGAACCGAAGTACTGGAAGTAACTGAATGAAAGCCGAACCAAAGTTTAATAGTTCCGTTCGGTTAGATGCTTCGGTTATTGAACACCTACCATCTGAGAACAATAAAGACTGAAATTGACTGAGATGAAGAACTGAGAAGAATATGAACCAACAGAGAAGGAAACAACCAACCAAGATGAAGCATGGAAACAACCTAATAAGAACAATGCGAACAGAGATGAAGCATGGAGAAGTCTAATATTTTGTTACCGTTTCAAAGTATTCCTTTATTGAGATGAAGAATTGAGATGGGACAATAGAAATCACAAAGAAGAAGAAGAGGCGAACCGAATATTGAGATGACAGTTAGGAAGAAATTGCGACAGAGAAGGAGAGGTGAATTGAGATGAGAAGAACGGAGGTGAGGTAAGGGCTTGGACTTTGGAGTGCCTGAGGCAGAGCGTGCGGCGATAGGAAGATAAATGATTAGGGTTAATGTGAGATGAAGAGAATATTATATGGGCCATCAAATGAGTTGGGCTAAGATGTGTTATTTTCTCATTTTTATTGATCTGATGTTATATTCTCATCAAACTCAAACTGAAAGTAATCGTGGGCCTAGGATTAGGATGTAATATTCTAATCCCTTTTTAATATTAAAAAAATAAAAATAATATTTATAAAATACAAAAATATATATCTATTTTTTAAAAAAATATTATTTATTTCGGTTTATTCGGTCTATTCGGTTTTTTCATTTTCAAACCGAACCGAACCATTTAAATCAAAATTTCTTTTAAGAAAAACCGAACCAAACCTTTAAACTGAATAAACTGAACCAAATAAACCAAACTTTGTTCGATTCAGTTCGGTTTTCGATTTCGGTTCAGTTTTGCTCACCCCTACCCGACACCTTACCCTTCAATTTGCTTTTCCCCCATGGCTATACAATGAAAAAGTTAGACATATATATATATATATTAAAGATTTTAAATAATTATGTAAATCATATATACCTTTTTCTTTGGTGGCCAGGGGTCCTTTGGCGGCTTTGGGTCCTTTGTCAGCTTTGGTGTACCAACCATAACAAGGTGGCTGGGCCATGCAACGAAGCTCCCTAATGCATCTCCTACTATCTGCATCTCATCGGTAGGATAAGGTAATGGATACTTGGGGTCGATTGCAAAAAGTAAGGAAACCCTAATGCAATCGGGAGGGAGGGGAAGGTTATGGATTGTGTCCCCGGCAATGTTATACACACGTCTCATTGCAACTACTTTGCGTGACGGATCGTCTGCTAAACAGTTGCAGTCATTCTCGCCCTAAATAAATGAAGAATGTTAGTTGTTTAGATTAAAAATTAGTTGAGCAAATTTAAAAGAGAAAATGCATTACCTCGGGTATTTTGTCTGAAGGGACTGTGCAGCTATCTTTTTCGCTGGGGCTAACGTCACCCAAAAGCCTCCCAGGGATCTGGCCCTTCAATAGCATGTCAATAACTTCGTTTGGGCTTCTAGCTATTGTTTCATAACAGTTTGCTCTTCTCTCAACTCTTGAACCTCGGATGAAGAAGCCGATGTTCGCTTCTTAATCTTGCCAAAGTATTGCTTCTTTGTGACACCGAAGCCAACATCCCTAAGGCCCCGTTTGGTTGGGGGGAGGGGAGGGGAGGGGAGGGGCTCCTCTTCCCTCCCCTCATTTGGTTAGGAGGAGGGGAGGGGAAATTTTTAAAATTTTCCCTCCCTCCCCTCCAAAGCCTCCCCTCCAAAGCCTCCCCTCCAAATTGGGGGGGAGCTCCCCTCCCCTCCCTTCCCCTTCCTCCCCCTCCCCTTCCCTTCCCTCCTCTCCCCTCCCCTTCCCTCCCCTCGAACCAAACAGACCCTAACACGACCAGGGTGGTCAGGGGTCCCCAACACTCTAGCTAAGATATCCTCATGCTCAGGAAGCTTGCCCTGTGATACTCTTGAGAGAGGGAATCTTGTGAAAAGTAGAGCTAATTAGTATGCCTTTTAATAATCATTTATTAATTGATAGATAAGAATAATACTTACAATTTTTTCGGTAACCTCTTTCACACGAGGGTTGTCAATCACTCCATCTTTATTTGTTCGTGCCAATGCCCAGAGTCTTTGGCGGGATATAGTAACATCCAATCCCTCGGCCTCAACTTCTTTCTGCTCCACGCCTGCATACCCTAACCTCCCTGCTCTGTAAGCGTATTCATTCTTAGCCACTCTCTTCTTATTTTAGGCGCTTAGTTTCTTTAATCAATAACAAAAATATCCTGTTAGTACACATAGATATATTCAATAAAAGGCACTAAAATTTAACTTTTAGAAACATAAATACCTTAAATTCCTTCTCGCGCCGAGAGACAACAAAAGCATCCCAATCTTCTTGCTTTACTAAAAGCTGTAATAAGGGAGGAACTTGGGCTACAAATTCAGCATCAAGGTCTTTCAAATATTTTTGTGTAATAAAATGTCTGAAAGACTGTAATGCCCTCCCAGCCTTTTGAAGGACAAAATCCTTCTTGCTCTTGTCTATTTCAAATCCTAATTGTAAAATAAAATAAATATGTTAGGTGCATCAATTTATAATATTATAATAGAATATAACTTAGTCAAATGCAACTTACAGATACAGTCTCCCAAACAATGTCCTTCATGGCTTGATCAACTTTGCGCTAGGATTTCTGCATGATAGGTACAGTTGTCTTTGCCACAACCCCAATATAACTTATAAACTTTACAATTTGATGGCTTGGCCTTTCTTGTTCCACTGTACTGATATTTTTTCCCTACTACTCTTG